TGACAGGTCAGATTTCTTTGCTAACAGCCCACAGTAACGGAAAAAAGTCAGTAAGTTTTATCAGTTCACAATGGTAAGCCAGAAAACCTTGATTTTGTAGGTAATAAAACAAAACAAAACAAAAAAATCCATGACAAAGAATGAACTGAAGTCACCTGTACTCATTGGAAAGCTGCTGCTGGAGAGGAAAATGGAAGTTACAGAGGGAAGGTGTCTCAGGCCACTAGGATATTCGGTTCACTCTCTCATCTCACGCCTCCCACCTGATGTGAGAAGGACCCAGAAAGGGGCCAATGTATGGGTACAACAGACCTTGCACTCTTCCCAGAGTCACTGGTCAGCTAATGAAATCAACAACAACGCTGTTAACAGCAACTGACGTGGATGAAGCACTTGCTATTTTCATTTTATAAATGAGAAAACTGAGGCCTAGAAAGGTTAATTTACTCAAAATCACAAAGCTTATAAATCGTACAGTAAGGAATCACACCCAGGAGTTTCATTTCAGGGTGCAGCTCTTAACCAATACATAATATTGCCTCTTTTCTTTTTCCATTCAATAGATACTCAATTAAGAACTACTACAAGCAGCAGCATTCTGTTGGGTTTTATTGTCAAGAATTCCAACTACAGTTGACCCTTGAACAACATGGGTTTGAACTGCATAGGTCCATTTATATGTGAATTTTTTTCAATAGTAAATACTTCAGTACTACATGATCCAGGGTTGACTGAAACAGCCCACAGATGTGGAATCACAGATTCAGAGGCAATGCATATACAGAGGACAGACTATAAGTTACAGGCGGATTTTTGACTGTGTGTAAGGTCAGGCGCCCCTAACCTCTGAGTTGTTTAACGGTCAATAGTACTTGGAAAACTAAACACAAACATATCACTTCAACAGGATCTTCCCGGGGTGGGGGGGTGGCAAATGAAGAAATTCCTGAATATAACTCCCAAATACTAATCAAATGCTTCCTAAAATTAGCAACTAATCTGATGTCAATGAAGGTCAGCTGGGCACCCCAATGTTTCTCCACTCCTCTAGGTAATTGCTCTATAGTACAAGGGGGAAAATGAGTTTTTTCTCCTCAGCTTAGCAGCCTCAGCTTTGTATGCTTTTCCACTGCATAATCTCATTAATCAAGACAATTACCAGACAATTGCCTGGCAAGGGAACCTTCAACAGCTGCCTCTTCAGAAGCCACTGATTCTCCAATCAGTGTTCTTCACCCATCCATCATGTGGATGAGCCACTGGAAGTCTAGCATAAGCCCAGAGTGCTTGATTAAAATTATTCCAGATGCTTTTCTCAGACTGATATAAAACTGTCTCCCAGATTGAGAAACACTAACCTTTGCAGTCTGTTTACCCCTCAGGCTATGAACTCTTTTAGCCCCTCTACTTTGTCGTTTCTACAAGCAAGCAAAGGTTAATCTTTAGTTGTTGACATTATTCAATTCCCCAACCCATGTGGAATTGTTGGTATTCTGAAAAAGACGTGCTGTGCCTGAGTCTGCTCTGGATAAGGATAACATCCTGGGCAGGTGACCTGCCCACAAGTGATAACAGTACTTGCCTTAACTCCTTTATTTAAATAGTAACCTCTGAGGTGCAGTATGGCACCAAGGTCATTGATTTACTCAACATAGGGATAAGAGGTTACAAGGGCCTGTGGACAAAAGGATACAAAGCTGTAACCAAAGATCTCTGTAATCTTATGGTTGTTTTCATGCAGCCTTTGGAAATTTAATTAGGCAAATGACACCAGAGGATTTGCATCTGTTCTATCATTCCGTCTTAAATCTAAGTACATCAGCATCTACATTCCAGGTGTGAGTTAGCCAACTGAGCTGAGACACTTAATGATTATAGAGGTCACGTGTATTTGGCGTCGTCTAGCTAAGCCCCCTCACTTTATAAAGACAAAATATAATTTGATTATTTTACCATTCTTCATCTGATTATTCCAGTTCAACCACTGGAATTTTTCACCCTTATTAAAGCTCTATGTAGCTATTCAAGGATATATAAGTCTTACAAGCACTTAGATTTTGCTTAAGAACATCCATTTCAGGATTGGCACTAAGTGACATTTTACTTAAAGTGTGTCACCTGTCTGGCCCAAATCTTCCATGTAAGAAGGGAAACTCACGTCTACAGACATCTCTATTTCCATAGAGCTCTTCCTTATGGGAAAGCCTAAAGATAATATCTGCTTTCCTGTAAGTACTAAGCACAGTAGGAGGACAAGAAGTCCAATAGAATTTACCTACTGTTTAGTAAACACTTGTATAATATTTACTAGGTGTTTCACAATACTAATTCCCATAGCAACTATCATTTTCTTCATTTTACAGATAAGAGAAACTGAGGCACAGGGCTCAACTGGTACATGATGCAATAGATATTTGAATGCAGGTAGTGTGGCTGCAGAATCCATGCTTACCTACAGTGCTACACTGGTTCTCACTAACCTGGAAGCAAAGCACAGGAAATACAGGACCTAAGCTAGGAAAACTGGCCCACAGGGAAGTGCACGGGCCCTGGGCTCCCGCCTTGGCTCTGCCCCGACTAAACACAAAGGCTCCAAGTTCATATCTGTACAGGGTTCACAGCTCCCTCGGTGGTCATTTGGAGAAAGAAAATAAATGAGATCACATAAGAGAAGCCATGTGGCCTACAGTGGGCCTCTGACTAGGGACCCCTTCTTAAAACCGTTATTTCATCTCATCCCATTTGGTCCCTTACGATAAGAAAATGCATGCAGTCCTTTCAGTACCTTCAGTAAAACAACCTTAAACCATGATATCACATATGTAGAATCTGGAAAATAAAATAAATTAGTGAATACAACAGAAAAGATATATACTCACAGATATAAAAGACAAGCTAGTGGTTACCAGTGGGGAGAAGGAAGGGGGAGGGACAAGAGAAGGGTAGAGGATTAAGAGGTTCAAACTACTATGTATAAAATACATAAGGCTGGAGGATATATTGTACAGCACAGGGAATATAGCCAATATTTTATAATAATTACAAATGGAATATAACCTTCAGAAATTGTGAAACACTGTTGCATACCTGAAACTTAAATAATATTGTAAATCAACTATACTTTAATAATAAACAAATAAATAAATAAACTTGAAACAACTTAAAAAAAAATCACTGTAAACCGTTAGAAGGTACCAGTTTCATCTCCTGGAATTATAGAAACAGTTAGGAATTTTATAAATGTTTACTCCTGTTACTAAAGAAAACCGATCTTGAATTTTGTCCCTTTTTAAAAAAATATGTCCAAATTTAGGTTGTCCATAATATAAATCAGTCTGACTTGCTGGTATTCCATTTGCCGCAAAAGAATAAGAAAGAGAGTGTGTGAAAGAGCAAACTGCCATAAAAGAAAGTCAACGTAGAAACTTCCAAACCCTGCCAGCGGTTACAGTTACTATGGTGTCTCCACGGGAACAACCACAAGTGAAGCAGAAATGTTAACTTCAGCAAGTTTCAAAAGAATACTACTGATAGTTTTTTATAGCTTTATTCCTGACCCAAGAGCAGTCAGGGAACACTCATGAAGAAATGAGCATGTATATTAACTATATTTCAATAAAAAGTAATTAATTAATTTTTTAAAGGGTGCATATTATGTAGATAAATAATACCTTAGTAAATTTGATATTTTTAAGGGAAAAAAGAAAGAAATCGATTGCATACATTAATTTTTTTATCATAACTGTACATTAAATTAAGAGCTATATTTGCAAAATACATATCAAGGAGAAACAAGTCATATAAGGAAAGGCAGTTCACATGGCTTTTTAGCATTTTTCAGAGTAATCACAATCTCAATTGCACAAAATAGCAAACTTGACCCCTGGTTAAGCGTTACATAAACCCACAAAGACAAGAGAGCTTAACATAATTTTGGAAGACTGAAAGCTGACAGAGAAGTAATAGCTTAGTGGAGGATACACTGATACCTAAGTGTCTGCAGGCAGTGATTCTGCTGAGAAATGAGCAATGACACCTGTAATTCTAGAAATGCTCAGGAATTAGAGACCCTTAGGAAAGTAAGAGGCAAGATACAGAGCCAAAAAAAAAAAAAAGAGAGAGATTGGCTAATGTGATCCAACAATCCCACTCCTAGGCATATATCCAGAGAAAACTCTAATTTGAAAAGATACATGCACCCCAATGTTCACAGCAGTACTATTTACAATAGCCAAGATATGGAGGCAACCTAAATGTCCATCAACAGATGACTGGATAAAGTTGTGGTACATAAATACAATGGAATACTATTCAGCCATAAAAAGAATGAAATAATGCCATCTGCAGACACATGGATGGACCTAGAGATGTCATACTAATAAGTCAGAGAAAGACAAATATATATCACTTACATGTGGAATCTAATAAAAGGGCACAAATTTATTTACAAAACAGAAACAGACTCATAGACATAAAAAATAAACTTATGGTTAGCAAAGGGGAAT